CTCTCTCTCTTCCTATCTCCCTCTCTCTCCCTCTCTCTCGCTCTCTCTTTCGCTCTCTCTCTCTCTCTCTTCCTATTTCTCTCTCTCTCCCTCTCTCTCGCTCACTCTTTCTCCCTCTTTCTCTCTCTCTTCCTCTCTCCCTCTCTCTCCCTCTCTCTCTCTCTCTCTCTCTCCCTCTCTCTTTTTCTCTCTCTCTCTCTCTCTTTCTCTAGCTTTCTCAAATAACCCTAAGGTGATTTGTTTGATTACAAGGGTATATCTTACCCGTGCCAAAAGACACGAACCTGATACACTATTCGATCTCGAGCCTCACTACAACTGGCCCCCTATTATCTACTTCTGATATATTTATATATGTCGCGTTGCAACGTCACGCACCCCTCCCCCCGCGCCATTCGGTGGCCTTCAGCTCAACTCGGGGCACGAGCGTTGAGGTTCTGTCTGTTGTCTTATATAATAGGAGGACAATTTTATCGTCATGGATCTGGAAGACGTCGCTAGGAAGTACAGAGAATGGCGGCAGAAAATGCCCCGAATCGAGCCTTTTTACGGTGAGAGCGATCGCTGCGCCTTCTATAACGCACGTCTACGCACAGTGTCGTGTCTTCCGGAAAGAAGTTGGGGGGTGGAGGGTAAAAATGTAGAAAAATGTGAGAAAAATATCGTAATCAGAAATTAAGAGCCGCAGTGCGTGAGTGTGTGTGAGGTGACGGCTTTTTTTCCCAACGCTGCATTTCATTCTCTTAGAAATCATATCGTGTCCAGAGTTTTAACGCTTGTAATTCTACACTGGTCACACCGTGTCTGTGAGATCGCCCCTCCCCTCTCACCTCCGCTCTTCTCTTCCTTCCCGTTTCTTCTCTCCTCACTTCATTCTCCCTTCTTTCCTACATATTCCTCTCGTCCTCCCATACTATTTCTCCCATGTTGCAGCGGTGAAGAGAACACCAGAACACCACCGCCAGCGTCCTGCGGCCATTTCCTTCCTCCTCCTCCTCCTCCTCCTCCTCCTCCTCCTCCCTTTTCTCCTCCCCACCCCTTCCTCTCCTATATAAATGTTTCTTCTGTGTCGTAGCGGTGAAGTGTAACGCCACCCCCAGCGTACTGCATCTACTCCCCTCCTCCCCCTCCTCCTCCTCCTCCTCCTC